TATAATGATGATGATGACATTTGTTTTAGCAAAGTTATATCACTTTTCCAGCATCTTAAAATAGCTGCTGAAGTACCAGGAGAAGAAAAATATGTCATGCCAGCACTTCTTCCCCTGAAAGATCCAGACACCATCAAACTAAATACTTCACCTCTTCTTTTTCATTTCAATAGTGCTGTTCCTATGGGTTTCTTCTGTGCTGTCATTGTTCATCTACTATCAGTTTTTTGGAAAATTTTTATTGAAGAAGGAAGTTTTTCTAATTTTTGTACTTTGCAGCGACAAATATTAAAAGGTCGTTATTTAAAAATTGCACTAGTGGAAAGGCTAAATTGCATTGAGATTTATTGTGATGAAGCACAGCATCGACTGAAAGCAAAAACTGAACTAGTTAATGCTATTGATAGTGTTATGGAAGTTCTAAAGCTTAGCGAAAAACCATCACTAGTGTTTTACTGTCCGTGCAAAAAAGAAGGAGAACATGTAGCTACTGTGGATGTGAAAGAGAGGGATAATAGCTCTATTGATTGTGTATTACATAGCAGTCTAGAACTATCAGATGAGAAGTACGATGATTATTTTTCATGGTTCTTTACCCAAAGAGACTGTAAGTTATATTTGCATGCTTTCCTAAATTATACATTAATCATTTTCTAATTTTTTTCGGCAGACCCAAATGTCTCAGTTGTTGATGAAACTGATGGACCTGATTCAATGCAGTGTGCTAAAGTTGACAGTAAGTTTTACATAATCATTGACAAAGAATTAACATAGTGCGGCTTTTATGAAGAAATCTTTTATGTATATAAAATCTAAAAGGAATAAACTAACACCTCATAGTAGATGCTTATCTCTTTAAAACATATTCATGTAGACACAAATTAGGCTCTACACTGTTAGAGCAAATTCATTGTTGTATGGCTTTGCCTCAATTATCAGTTTGGTTTTAATTATGTAGTTGTTCCCTCACTTGTTGCAGTTCCACCAACTAAAAGAGTTAGAGCGGACGAAGGTAATATTTATTTATTGGTACCACCACCAGTGCATGACATTTCATTTTATGTATAGAAGAGGTTGAGAAACTTAAAGTTCAAATATCTGACAAGGAAGAGCAGATAGCTAAACTAATAAAAAAAGAGGTACAAAAAGATGCCACAACTCATGGTAAGAGTAATACATATACAGTAATACTGTATACGGAGTGTTTACTGTATTTCACATCATATCACTGTATAGATATTAGGAAACATAAGAATTTTATACTGCGTTCACTACAAAACATTGTTAAAGAGTGGAAAACACTTGGAGACCTACTAGGCATAGAAAAGCGTGTTTTAGATCAAATAGAATGTGATCATGGTTCTGCTAATCTGTGTAGGATCAATATGATTAGTCATTGGTTGGAAGGAGGTGCAGCTAGTCTTGAGTCACTGATAGAAGCACTGGAAATACTGGGCAGGAATGATATTATAGCTACTTTGAAGAACAAAGAAAATTGGCAATAACTGAAAAAAATAATTTTTATTAGCCTACATATGTTATAATTGCTATTTACTATTAGTTGCATGCATCAATACATTTGTATTAATAGGCATTTCTATACCTACTAGTCTGTATTTAATGATTTAAAACATTCTTATACTCTTTTTAAGGTAGTTTAGCAATCAATAACCTTTGATTATTATTAATTTTTAAAGTTTCACTAAGAATGATTCAAAATTAAGATGCAGCGCGGGAAAAAAAATTGTTTGTGGGTGTGGTTAACCCATCCCCTTTGTCAGAAATTATCAAATTCACAAATTGAGGAGGTCCTTCAGAAAAATGGATAGAAGTGAAGAGGACACACTAGATACACTGAAAGGGAGCGTCAATAACATTGTAATAGGAACAATATACGGAGTTTTACTGGTAACTGACCTTATCAATAGTGATAAATGAAGCATGCACTCATCATTCCTCTTTATTACAGATTATTATTATCATTCATATCATTGTTCGTTGTGAATTGAGGAGGAGACGATTAAATAATAACACGATACACATACCAGGAGACAAATCATTCAAACACAAAGTAACCAACACACAACCAAATACACTTAAATAATGATATATTCACAGTCATAAAGGGTTACTGTATTAGGGGGTGTGGTTTAGCTATGTGATTTTTTACATGACGGTTTATCTATTAATAGTTATTTCCTTATTTAGAAGTTACGTCAGATCATATCATGTGACATTGAAAGAGTTCGTAATATTTCATCAGACGTGAGGCTAGTGGATCAATCATTGGACCCATCTGCTTTCGGAACTTCTTCAGGTAATTATTATTATTAATTATTAATTACCTAAAAATTGGTAATTTTCACCTCAAAGGATGGCCATTTTTAAAGATGATAGTTTAGAACCTTCTTCATTGTATAAGATGAGTATCTCTTCTTAATAAATGAACCTCATTAATTAATAATGGTTGTTATTGTTGTTGTTTATTGTTGTGTTGTTTATAAGTTTATTAATGAGCCAATAATACCTTGACAATGGTGTTTATAGTACTACTAATAATAATCATTTATTGGCACAATGGCATTGTTTATATATACAAGTTATTGGGATATTGTAAACTATCTCTTAATTAACCTTCACCTTCAATCAATTATTATAATATCAGGGAACTATATACTACTGGTCTTTGGGACCTTACTTGAAAAATTGAAGTTGGAACTGCCTCAAAC